AAATCAAATTAAAATATACTTTCCATGAGTTTTGTTTAGGAGGGTTGCAGTAGAAGAAATCCAAATGAGTGTCCACATCAACTAGGTGACCTGAATAACTGTTTGATCAAGATCAAATAAAGCAATTGTTATTTGGAAGCTTCTGTTACCAGGTTATTAAATCAGGGAACTGTACTTGTACAATACAAGTAACTACTTTACATATTTTTACTACTGCTTTACCCTGCAATGCTATCCTGATTTGGAAAAAAAAAAAAGTACAAGAGAATGAAATCTTTGCAACCAACTGAACTATTGCTGTCTCAGCCATATAATGAACTTTTCATAACAAATCCCTCCATTTCCATCAAGTAGCCAATCAGAACTATAGTAATTTCACTTCTTTAAAGCACTCTATTGTTCTCAGTTTTCACCTTAGACAGCATTGTTCCTATACAGAAAATTCACATTCTTCCTGTTTTTGTTGCACATTACAAATCACAGAAAAGACCAGCCCTACTGGAATTTATCAATCAATAGAGCATTCTTCTTTGCGAACTACAAAAACCACTCTGTCCTATATCCTGGCACTATGGAGCTCCCAGTACAATGCCTGGAAGGAGAACAAACTCTCTGTGGCATGCTCAGTACAGTAGACGGATTTCCCCCTTCCTGCCCTCTTCTAGCTGTTATAAACAAACACCAAAGCAAAGTCAGGCTGTAGAGAAAGGAAAACCAAAACAGAACACAGTCGATTTCAACATTAATAATAAATCAAAAATCTGTACCAGTATTATGGCAGGCAAACCACATAGTGGTAAAGACAGCTTGTGCACTCAAAAAAACCCCACTTAAGTAATTCCACATCTTGAGAAACAGTGTTTGGGATTCCAGCACAGTCTGCAGCTCTCCCTTGTCTTTTTATAGTTGTTGGTGCAAGGTCCCTTCAGAATAACTAACGAGCGTATGTCTGGAATGATTTCAAGACTCATTTTATAGCCATATAAACATAGCCAGGTAGCACAGAAAGTTTTAAAATCACTTCAAGCATTCATGCAATGGATGTCTTCAATGTGGTACAAAAATAAAATGTGATCTGATATCAGGTATGACATCACTGTCCTGTGATCCCTCATTTTAGAAAAAGTAATTTAAAATTACAACCAGTATTTATAGAGCTAGCTAAGCACTTACAGTAAATATTCTGCATGACATCAGAATCCCTAGAAACAGTCACAGCAAGCCAAGGAAGTGTGGAAAACATACAACTTCTTTGGTGTTATTTAAAGGCTAAATTTAGCTTAGTGAAGACTATCTCCCTCTAAAGTCAACAGGAAAAGAATGTCACCGTTAGAGCAATGGTTCAAAGTTATTCAAAGTCAGGAAGGAGTGTGAACCCTCTCAGCAAAACTCAGCAGGTAGCAGGTATCCTGTGAAGGGAACCTGGAGGGGTCGGAGGGACAGGGGGGACATACAAAGTAGACTCTTCCTCCCCCATGTACTGCCCCTTTCCCTGGCCAAGCTGGAATCTGAACATGCCAGCATGCTTTGGAGAAGAGTAAACATGTCCTGCCTCTATCTTGCTTGGCCTGGACAGGTATTTCTGGCAGATCCACCTGACAGCATGCAAGGCTAATTACCTCTCCCCAGACCCTAATGGGAGACTTTCGCATGGTATAGAGCTCCAAATTCTTGTGTTCCCACTGGATCCAGCCATATCTTCTCCCTCATTTTAGCAAAGCCTAAGGCAAGATTCAAGAGAAAGAGGATGTCAAAGACCTGGAGGCTAAGCTGGCATTACCCTGGCAGGACAACAGTTAAAGGCTTCCAGAGCAGATAGGAGGGCTGGGGCAGGGGAAGAGATGAGCAGAGAACGGAAGAGATGATCCTGCTGCACTGGAACATGAAACATGCTCTCGGTGAAGCTTCCAATATTAGATGCGTATTAAGCACATTATCCCATTTGCCTTATAAAAGTTTACACACAGTATGTGTCAGACAGACAGCTTTTACGGCGGGGGGGGGGGGGGGTGTGAGAGGATGGGAGGACGAAGAGCAGTTTGAGAACAGAGATCCAGAGGGCAGCAGAGAACAAGTAAATACCTAGAACAACCTTTCCAGCCCCATCTGCTACCTGCTCAAGGAGTTGAAGATGAATGTAGCCTTCTCCACGGTTTGGGGTTACCCCTTGTGCATACTTCTATCATTTAGTATCCCTACCTTACAGATTGTCCTGCTTGCACACGACTCAGGTTTCTGGTTTTGGGGATTCTGAAGGGGGGCTGAAAAGGTGAGGAGAGGTTTGCATCCCCAATTTCACTTACAGTTAAGTGATGCCATTTATTACTCACCTTCATAATTTCATTTCACTTGTTAGCAATCTAAAAATGGTGATTTTTTTTTAAATGTATACACATCCATATTTTACACAAGTTAATAAAGGTAGAAACTTGTCATGGTATCCCCAGAGAAAAACGTAAAATTGTGAGTTGTTTTATGAACATAAGGGAATTCGAAGTAAAATAGTTCTGTAAGTTCTCAAATAGGTTTCTATGTATTTTATTCTCTTGTACAGTTTTACAGTAGATGTCTGTAAACTTTCTGAAGGTTCTGGAATAGGCTTAGGTAGAACACACTGAAATTTCCCATGAAGAACAGAATGTAGATAGACAAAAAAATAACATTTTGGTTTTGATCAAAGCCAATTGGAATTCATTTACCTACTTTGTCAAGTACTGGTAATTACCCATATTGTCCAGATAATTACTTACTTGTTTATGTATTTCTTCAATTTTTCATTGTATATTGAGTTTTGGGAGCTACAGGGATTCTACACACAACCAGATGCAAGCTTTCTAAAATGTGCAAAAGCACTAGAGACTTGGGTGCAATGCTGTAACTTTGTTGGAAACTAAGGGTTGTAACACCTTCTGGCTAAGCATGGCACTGTAAGAACTTCAGATAGGAAACAAAACCAAATAAACCTTTGCAGACATCTGGGCGCAAGGAGAGAGAGCAGCAATTTTTTTGAAGGCTGCCTAATTTAAAAAATAAGCATATGGCTGCAGGCATACAATTTGTGAATTCTGCCACTCTACCTGTCACTTCCAAGTTTATAATAGCATACTGCACACTTCAGCAAGACATCAAAAGCAAGGACTTTATTAACAAAACTAAACATTCTTTGCCCAAATGCATGTTTTTAATACATATATTCCAGAGATCCTGGCATCCCTCTCATACTGGTATTGCTAATCCAGATGCATGTTTGTCCAGAATTCATCTTTCAACATCTGTTCCACAAAGGTTCATCCTCTGTTTTTCCTATAACATCTCCCCCAACTCCCTTTTCCATTCAGAAAAAGACTTTTAGCTATTATATTTATATTAAAAAACAACTCTGCTTGAAAGTCCAGTCTATTTTCATTCAAATTTCATTCAAATACCCGTTTGATTTCCTGGTATTTCTTTGCCATACCATGCAGTTAGGTTAAACCCCAAGAGAACAAAAGCTTACATTCATGGTAATTTCCTAAATCTTTTTCTTACTGTCCCCATCTCAGCTACTAAAGAATGACAACAATCACTTGGCAACACTCGAGGGAATGATTCAAGAATTAACTCAAATTATTTATCCCACTGAACTTAATGAACTCAAACCAGATGATGACTAAGTCCTGCCACTTCCCTAATAAAGGAGGGGATACATTTAATACTCCATCTTTTCTTTGTCTGGATAGCTGTATTTCTCTTTTTGATGTGCTACCTTGCTTCTAACCCCTTATTATATCCTCTTCTGATGATAATGCTGTAAATATTATCTTGTCTCATCATTTCAAGAGATACATCTTGAGACAAATTCCATTTCAGAAGGAAGTTACTTTCTTTTTCAATGCCTTAATAGTCTCCTCTTTGCTCTTCTTTGCAAGGGGAAACCCCTCAACAACAGTCCAAAAACTCACCAGATAACGAATTTCAAGACTGTGTCTCCCAGAGCACCTGTAAAGTAATTTAACAGTAGCAACACAGCTGTTATCTATAAATACTGCCTGTGAACTTCATATGATCTTAATTTAAACCATGCATTCTATATTTTGCCATATTTATAAGACATGCTGTCTGTCCTTTTCATTACTGCACATGGAACTCATGACACATTCTCCCACAGTGGATTTATATATTTAGTTGGATATTACAACCTATTTATGATCAAAGAAAATGTCTTAGTACCTATTTCAGAAAGGAAAATTATTGCTCAGGAAGATTAAAACTGGTATTTTCATCACATCCTTTCTCTTTTACAGGGTTAGAGGGAGCCGTGGGTTTGAATTAGCAAAACTTAGAAAGGAAAGCACAAAAAACTAGAAGTGCTAAAAATTAATGGATAGAGAGAAATGGAGATGTAGGATTGCCCAGTTTACTCAAGTCTGTAACAGTATTCTGAATCAGAGGCAGCATCCGCATTTTACTGTCCAGGCAGCTTCTCTGACAGTCTGTATCTGCATGTACAAACAGAACTGATGTTTTTTAGAACAAAGAACACAAAGAGCCCAGCAATTTAATGTAGACATCAACATTTACAAGTAGAAAATACCCTTCAGTCTTATGTAATCAGCAGTTTTGAACAGGAAGTCTTACAGCTAAAGTAGCTCTGAAGAAAAAGTAATTTCTGAAAAGCAAATTAACTGTATACACTATAAACAAAATGATAAATAATTAAAAACTAAGCAAACTGGTGTTTTAGTGGCTGAACTGATCTTCTGAACAACATGGAAGCTGACAATCTGCCCTGCACTAATAAGAGTCCTTGTACCTGAGAACTTTAGCTGGAGTATTTTCACAGTTTACTAGCTTGAACATAATATAAAAAGAGTACTGTGGGTGTCTTGGGTGAGTATTGATCATATGTACTTTTGTTCTCATAAATTTCCAGATGGAAGTTTGACTAAACATATAAATCAAACATCAGAAATACTTGTTAACTTCTTTTTAAACTCTTTTGAATTTATTTCCAACTTTACCTTAAGAGCACAGAAGATGCAAGAATCTCCCATACATTTGTGCGTAGTGATTTGCCGGAAACTGCGCCGAAAAATGTCCAGGTGCCAAAGAACCTGAAATACAAAAAGGGTCACAGCCAATTTTATGAATATATAAAATACTGCACAAAGCTCCAGTTAAAACTGCACCTGCTAAATGATCACAGAAGTAGCCTAATTCCAGTGAAGATCACTTTTAAAATGGAATGCCTTTTATCTAACTGCTAGTTGACATTTTCACCTTTGTTCCTCAGCTGTAGCATTCACTCACATTAATGTACAGTAGGACAGCCCTCTGAATTTCTTGCCATGTGCTTTCAGATAAAAACAAAACAAAACAAAACAAACAAACAAACAATAAACAACAACAACAAAAAAAACCAAACACCAAACCAACTCACTTGTTGCTAGTCCCATCCTTAACAGCACTTACCCTGACTGCTCCCCCTTGCTGACACCACATTGTGCAGCCACACCATGAGGCTGGGCAGAGCTGCCACGAATACCCCACCGACTGCTGGGACCAAAACCTGTTTGTTGTTCCATCTCCTAGGCAGCCTCCTCATTCTGAGCAGGAAGGCCAAATAATGGGAAAATGGAGCACCAGCAGTACATACATTAACAAGCTGTTATGCCCAATATTATCATCAGGAAGTATATTTACATGCCCTGATCACTGGCAGGTTTTTAATCCTAATTGTGAGGGCAGTTTTACTCTTCTCTCAGGACAAGCGTGGTAGTAACACCAGGTATATGGTCACAGCATATAAAAGCAAGCAGGCTTCTCTATGCTCTGCTAGCAATAGCAAGAAGCAACGCTTGCTGTAACAGTGCCAAATCTTGGCCAATTATCTAAATTCTTATCTGTAAAACAGCAACAATACTGATCTCTGAGATTTTTCACAGTCAGCTCTTTGTATATACATGTGGTTGGTGCTGGCCATTTCAGCTTCGACCAGCAATAACTGGACCTTCTTGTAAGCCTCAGAGCCACCAGCCTTTCAGGAAGCAGAAGCTTTCACTGAAAGAAGCCATGACCTAAATCACGTCCTGCCATGTTCCGGAGTAGCAAGGTCCAGGCTGGCATCTGACTGGGCAAATGCTCTGTTAGCACAAAGAGAGGAACCAAACTTCTTCTTTCTAATGAGCTTGTCCAGAGCAACTGGCTAGAAAAAAAAATCAGCTGCCCTGAAAAAAGTTGTGCTGGTTTCAAGAAGTATTTCCAGCTGGACTAATTTGTTAATTAAACTACAGCACACAAACATTAGCTAAAATTATATTTAAAAACACATTTATTGAGTATTTTAATCGGTAACGTTTCCCAAAATGTCAGAATTGCCATGGCTATGTTTATGCTCAAACTTTCCCTACACTTAAGGGCCTGGGAGGCAACATAAGCCTTGGAACCATCTAATTACACACAACATTCCTGAAGAACTACTGCAGACTTCACGAAAGGACAAAAAAAATAACAGATTTAGGAACAAGTCCAATTTTTTCATATAATTGGCTTTGGAGTTTATCCTCAAAGTTTACACAAATTTTTAAGAGTAAGGAGCAACAAGCAGTAAAGAGCCTTTCAGGCTAATGCTGAATGCTAAAAAATAAAAACAACAGAAGTGTATATATATATATATATAGTGAAATTATTACCATCTTCCTTTTTTTAAAAAAAAATTCAGCTTTAACAGTAAGTATTTTTGGTATCCTGTCTCTCTTAAGCTTTAGAAGGAAATGGTTTATGTAGAAAAGTAAAGGTCAGGTCATATACTTTCATCTTCATGTATGGCATGCAGCTGTTAGGTTCTGCTCAGTTCTGACCAAAGTTCAGTAACTCAGTATTAGGAGGCAGCTAGTGATTACACCCTACAACTTAACAAAAGCAATAGAGTACGTAATTGGAAACTTCACTTAGCACTTCTCTTACTATAAATCCTCTTTTAAAGAACAGACATACTGCAAGCTATGCAATGTTCTGTTATTTTAGAATAATTTTTCTACATATACTTTCCACTTTGGTTGACATTTTCCAAGTTTACACAAACAAGACTAAAATACAGTAAGTGATGACTATTCAAATGCTGTCAATTTCAGCAGGAAAACCTGAAACTTAAAAAAGGCTGCTCTATAGCTCAACTAGTCTGCACTTCCACATATACCTTTATTCTATCTAAACCCACAAATGATTATGTCAAGCCTGGCTCTATCTGTTGAACAGTCAAGCCTAATAAAATATTGCAATAACAGAGGATAAAGAAACAAACATTTTTTTTATTCTGTATTCTTACCTGTAGTGCGCTGTTCAGAAAGCAGCTGTTCTGTCCTGGTTCATTGCTGAGACCTTTACTGGGTGCTATTGAGGTTGTATTTCGTGGAGTAAACATGCCCTGTACATTCCCCCGACCCACAGAAAAGTAATTTCTTTTCCAAGACATTCTTCCAGTTTCAGCTGTAGAATATGTAGGTTTAGACTGGCAGAGTATTTGACTTGGATCAGGCCCTTCCTTTCTTTCAGTGAAATTCAAAACAAGAACAACATCCAATCTTCTTTAAATTATAGTTTAAACAGAACTTATCCTTTATCAGGACACAAGCGGTTTGCTTCTTTTAAATCCAGCCCGGGATGCTATTCTTCATTTGATGCCTATGTATGCAAAAACCTCTTTTACAAGCAGCCACATATAAAGTTTGCAAATGCGAGGAATCCATGGTCATGCAAGTTCTGTTATGCTGCTTCTCCCTTTTCCAAACAGGCAGTGACTTCAGGGAACAAATGGCAAATCAAGTTGGTCCCAGAATCACGGAAAAAAACAATAGCTACCTCCCACACCCCAAAACTCCCAGCTTCTCTAATCCTTTTATAATCCTCCTGCAGAAGATGGGAAAAATCCAATTAGCAAGGGAGCAGAGAAACCAAAACCAAAATAAAAGCTTGGCAACTCCCTTTCAGTTACATCTATCTTGGGTGATGAAAGAGACATCATCCTCACAGGGGAAAAAGACGCAACTCCAGGACTTTAGAGCAAAGAGCATTAAGCAGCAAAAAGTCTCCAATACAGTTGTTTTTATTCTGTGTGCAATCTTTAGAAGTTTCTTCTCCTGATCCTCCTTTTGCAATTGGAATGCCCAGCCGTGCCAGAAAGCTTGAAAGAGAAAAATAATCAAAGGCTTACGTCATTTAATTACTCTTTGGGCTTCGTGGTGTTCTGCCAAGACCAGTGTTGCCTCACCTCCCACAATACACTGAATCTTCTGAGACAAAGCAAAAAATATAAACCTTCCTCCACCCAAAAAATAAAGTAACATGCAAAAGAACAGAGAATTGTGAGAAAAGTATGCAAAAGAAAGAGGGCTGGAGTATGCTGAAAGGGTTAAGAAGGAAGTCGGATTAATAAAAATAAACCAGAGTATTCATGTGTATCTATAGCAGTTTTCATATGTATCCTTGACAGTCTAATCAGATCTTCTAGTCACTCAAACAGCAGTATAAGGACTTGTGATTCTGTGAATAAACACTAGTACATTGTCCACTCAGGAACTGAGATTTTGCACTGAACCTGGAAGGCCAAACTGACAAAGGCAAAGGCTCACCTTGAACTCAGCAGCCCACAGCTCTCTCCAGAAAAAAAGTCTCTGAATTTTCTTAATTAGAAACTGTTTCTCTATAAAATGTTACTTAATCTTTATACAATGTCTTCCAAAAGACACTGGTGCTCTGAAGAAGCCAGAACTATTCCATGGAAAGTGTTCTTCCCATGACAAGTTCACTTTTTCCCTTATCTCACAGGAAATACAAAAAAAAAAAAAAATTGATCTAAGAAATTCCTAGAAACAGGAACTACAAGCTTCACGGCAAACCATTTTTCAAAGTTCTCACAAGCATAGCCTATCTGTATTTACTTTACACACAATTGCTTAATATTTTCCAGGGACATTCTCAATGACATTTACGATTATCCCATTTTTGACACACATAACTGAATGTACCTATTAAGGCTGGTATGAGCAAGATGACTTTCACACATACTGTAGTAGTAATTTCAGCATGAAGTCACTATAAAATAAACAGAGTTTGTACAAAGATTAACTAAGAGCATAATTCCTTATAAAGATATTCTAGGTGTCTGTAAAGGCACGCTTTTTCTGCCATCCACATAATTATAAATACACCTGTCAGAACTCAGAAGGAACTTCCTCAACATCTGCAAATGTGATACAACAGCCTTACCCCTTCCCTTCTATTATTATTTTGTTTGTGTTTCTATTAAACTCATTCTACAAATATTAATGAAGCCTCAGTGTTGCTTTAAGGCAGGCAAATATCTATATACAGATTAATATTCTTTTTGGTTGCCAGTGTGCCATACAAAATTTTCAGAGGTGCTTGCAAGCCTGGAGACACAAACCATTACCACGCCTGTCGCACAACATTCCTGAGCACTGGACGTATACAGGATTCATTTAAAAGCTATTTCAGTCTCAGCCCCCTTTCTTTGCTCAATCCCTTAATGAACCATGAACCAACCATACCGTGTGAGATAATTCAGTTTCAAGCAACAATTTAAGGATCTCTGTACACCAACGCCACTTGCAATAGGTGCAGCGGCTAAGTCTGTGCTGCAGAGATGGAGCAGGATGCTGTGTGAATGAACTGAGGCAAGCAGGCTCTGTGCTACCTCACAAAAACCCCTGAGCCAAGCACTCCATCATCTCTTCTTCATAGTACCTACGAAAAGATAGTCAATACAAACCCAAAACATACCCAAAATGCACAGCTATAAGAAACACCTGTTCAGTGGACTTCAAGTTCATAGCAAGATTCTGCTCTCAAATTGAGCTATAAAACTTTTAAGTACTTTTTGAGCCAAGCTGTCTCAGTTATAATAAAGCAAATACTTTTCTTTTTCTATTTATTTTTATTGCTGTGGAACCAAAATCAGATAGAGGCTTTGTGGTTCAGCTGTCACTGCAGCAAGATTACTGCAAGCTGGCTAGGACTCTTGCAGTAACCATGCACACTTACTACCTGCACTGCATTTGCACAGGTTTAGCAAAACTGACTTCTTACCACGTATTTGCTATGATCACTCATGAACTCAAATTCAGTTTGCTCATTTGGCTATACAGCTTTTGCAGAGCTAAGAACAAGCAGAAAACACTTAAGCTGGTAACCGCTCACCTATGACAAAGCCACATCTCTGGAGATCCATGGCAGCTTCACACTCTGCTAATCTCTAAAAATTTATCAATGTTATATAATAACCATAAAATAGAATACTAATTAATCTTAAATCTATGGAAGACATTATTCAGATGAATTATTTATGGACTCACTTAGCTTCTGCTCTATCATATTTTATGATATAAAATATCGTAACACGGTAACAAACAGCAAGCAGGAAAAAAGAATTACAGTAACAAACAACCATCATTATTAAAACATCCTGGGTTTTATCCATCATCACTGACGAACCACCAGTAGGAAAAAAGCTAACCATCCTGTACTTCAAGCACCCACCATACCACTGGTAAGAAAACAGCAGTGACCTGCAAGGGAAAGTGAAGCCTATTGCTCTGCAAGCCTATCAGCAGATGTAGGTGTTCTCCAAACACAGTACTTCTCCCAGATACTCTGTTAGCTTGTAAGTGGTCCCAGACACAGAACTAAAGAAAAAACCAAAATTTACCTTCTGAAATAAAATCACGGTAACACTTTGATGATATATGTCACAAGCTCCACAAAATCACAGTTAAGTGAGAAAAGATTTTCATGTATTCTTTCCAATTAAAGAAGTTTTTCAGAAAGACTGCTGCCCTATTAAAAACACAAGCCAACAGCTTTTTAATAGTACGAGGAAACCCCCTACAATTGAATTGCCAATGGCGTTTCCCAGCCTTCTGTAGCATTTTAATGTTAAGTGACAACTGCAGCTCCACCTTAGTCTCTTATTAAAAACAAAAAAAACCCAAAACAAACCCAACAAAAAGCAACAAAACACACGCAAAACAAACAAAAAGGGGGGGGGAGGGGAAGAAACAAAACTAAACCAACAAAAAACCACCTCAGATGACAGATTCAAAAGCTGTAGCTACTATGTATGTCCCAGTGGCATCTTGGCATGATTCCCAAAGACTGAGTCCGAAGTAAAAGATATTACCAGACTTGAAAAAACTGTTTTTATAGGAAAGAGAGAGGGTTCTCATACCTGGAAATGTTACTAATACAGAAATATGACCACGATGGGAGGAGTGCCAGATGCAAAAGCACAAAGGATGCCCTTAGTTCATTATTCAAAGCATTACCTTAGAAAAACAACGAACTGAGGCAGAAAGCCTATATACTTTTAAGGTACTTGAATTCTGTTTATCGTATTAAGAACTCTATTCACTGGACTAAGGCACTAAATTAATCTAGCCAGCAGGATTAAAAAAGCTAACTATATCCCTGAAAAGCTGCACAAATTTGTAATAATGTTACACAAATTTTATAATAAAACTGTATTTAAAAAAAAAAAAAACTAAAAAAACGTATTAAATCCAGCATTCTAGATCTTCCCTTGAATTCATGCTGTCTGTCAACAGCTTTTTTCAGGAAGGAGGGCTCCCAGCTGCAGAGTCAGGCTCAACAGACAAGAGAAGGGCATGGGGCACCATTGCTATCTGTCTCCAGCAATGCAACCCCAGAGCAAAGCTGATCATGGTTCAAGCACATACTTCCAGCCTGAAGAAATCCCACTTTGTCTTTGGGACAGAAAAGCACAGCATTCTCATATTCATTTGCTAAATCAATCCAATGGAAACAAAATATCCCAAGTTGCTTCCTTTTTTTTTTCTGCTGAGGTCCCACTATCACTGTTCATTTTAAGGGAAAAAAATAATAATAAGAAAAGTCATAACATTACTCTCTTACTGCAGTCTCATTACTCTCTGAACATTTTAGAGCTACTGCTTGTTGAATCATTCCAGGCACACATCTGAATTAAAACAACCCATCTAGAACAGGAGATGTCTCCATTTAGCACTAATTATGACTGAAACCACCAATTAAGTATGTATCACACACTGTTAAATAAGAGCAGAGGTCCATTACTTTTTTCTTCCTGAAGAAACTTTCAAAACACAGAACCAAGTAAATGCTTCAACGTGTGAATGTGTGCGGGTTTAGATAACAGACCCCCACACACTCTCAACATCCTACAACCTCTTCTGTTAGTAGGGAGTAGATTAATGGTCTTGAGGGCTAATTGCCCTTTCACATGTCTTACCACCTCAGAAAGCGTGAACACATGAGAAATGGATTTTAAACAAAGAAGAAAGAAAAGAATTGTCCAAGGCAATAGATTCTAGTGAAAGTTCTCAAACAGATGACACCCAGCTGAGTGGCTCTTTTGATGAGGAAGCACAGCAATGATCCCCTCGACTGATCCCGACTGTTCTCAGCTAGATGGAAAAAAATTTTCACAGCTAGAGGCTTGAGAACATACTTTCTCCATGTAGCTGAATGATGAAAGTAGTTGCTAATTTCTGCATAGATTAAATTATATTTAATTGCAGAGGTATCAATATTACGAGCCTTGTTTACAGTTTGGACAACCCAAAGAATAGCCAGCTTCGCAAGTCAGTCTAAATTCAATCTTGAAGGTGATGAAATAAAATAAAGTGACAGAAATGTTCCCATTACCAAATAACCATGTGGCTGGCTGAAGAAAAGTGTCAATGGGGCAGTAATCTTAAATGTAAGCATACCTGACAGAACCAAAGGAGGAATGACTTCCTCTTGAAGATGTCTCCTCTTTTTGAGAGTCTTGGCTAGCCAAAAACACAAGACAGACTTCTTTGTGTACCGAGATGATACAATGTAACTACAAGAAAGTACAATTATTTCCATTCATCTCTATCTAAGAAAGAACTTTTTGAAAGTGCAAATGGGAACACACATTAACTTTCTGCTTTCTGCATGCATTTTCTCAGTCTTGATTGACATGCTGAAAGAAAAGGGCAACCGGGGGAAACCTGCTGTCAAGCTTACACCCATTCTTAAGTCTTCCTTTTAGAGGAACAGCTTAATTACCTGGCTCTCCTACTTGTACCTACTGGCTGGAACCAGGAACTGACAGCACCTGACAGTGCCAATGATGCGCTCAACAGACTCCTACTTGTCTTCCTTAGTTTTCATTCTGCTACTGCACAATTCCTAATCTGTGAAGTGTTGTAACATTACAACAAAGCTGTGAGTATCAGAGACCATAGCTGACAGATGATTCCCAGAATCATCTTTGAAAATATACTCAAGTGCTTGTATAGGGTTATTCTAAGCGGTCTTTCAGACACCGGGGAAATGCTTCCACTTACCTGATGCAAAAGTAATTATCCAAAAGTAAAAGTTCCTAGTAAAGACAATTAAATGATTTTGGTGTGGAAATTAAAAACAAGTGTTTCCCCAAATCCACTTAGAGAGTAAGGGTACAGCAAGTCTATGACAAACACCACAGATTTTCCAGAAGACACAATGAAGGCCATTTCAGAGAGACCACCTCAAGATAACAGAAACCAGAAACAAAGGGATTAGACAGAACAATGAGCAAACTGGGATAATACTCATCCTTGACTAAAACTTCTGTCATTTCAGATACTACCAGTGTATCTGTACAGCCTACCAACCACTAGAAGAAACTGTAGGTAGGATACTGATAAGCAAAACTACCTCTTTGGAATACAACTCCCAGAAGGGCCAACAGTGGCATTCCTGAAGTACTAGACAGCTTACTACTTCTACCGTGATTTGGGGGGGAAAACTGAACAAGCTCTTTATGAAGAAAGAATCTTACACCAACTTTTCAAATCAACAAATAACGCATGAAAAACAAAAGCAACCCACTCTCTGCTCCTGTTAACTGCTCAGGCCAACAAAGAGCATGGAGAGACCATGTTTTAGAGAAACACCCTGAAATGAAACTGCAGAGCTGATGGAGTCAAGTATAGCTTTATACTGCATGAAGATCTTCTTTACAGCAAGCAGTACTCCAACTTCTTCATCCAAAACACTTGTGGGTTTTATAAAACTATAGGGTACTGTCTCTTAAAACAGTGTAATGAAATCTTACATCGAACACTTACCTAATCTGAATCATTTGATTTTAAGCCTGACAGTCAGCCAAATCTATTTAAAGAGCATCTCTCACAGTAATAAAGCAGCCGAAACCCAACGGCTTTGAACTGCAGAAGTTTCAGTGGTGGTGAAGGACTGGAAATTTCTATTTACTCGAGCTCAAGAGGAACCTCTGTGCTTCTTCCCAACTGCCTACAAGTGCTTCTCCAGGATTACAAAGTCTTAGCACTCATTTCTGCAACCCTTCATGAAAGGAGGACATCAGCTGACAAAAACCCATCTTCTGTGCAAAATTATGACCACAAAGATTTCTGTCACTTATCCCATAGACCAACTGAGACAGAAGGATAGCCATGTCTAATCTTTAATAAAGCAGTTAGTAGGACTCCAAGTATACAGTTGGCTCTCAAATAACCAGAAAGGCTATTAAAACCCATTCAGTACAGACTTCTAACATATTACAACCATCCAAAGGCATATTACAGTAAAAATAAATTAAAAGGCCAAATACACAGCTCTAAGTACCTAAACCCAGCATTATAGTATTTTCTGATTGAAAATAACTTATCCTCAAGATGATCCAGAAGTTTCTGGAAGAAAGCATCTCTGCAATTTATACAAGCACAATGTGGACTAATTGAGTTATAAAGGGCTTCTGTTCAGACAAACAATGAGAGGGATGAGGTCAGAGCTAGAAACGCAAAGGCCACGTTATTTACTTTGTGTGAGGCTTATTGCCAAAACACATTTTACTCCCCAGCTAAAACTTTTTTATCAAAAACATGGTATTAATAACCACTGATCTCATGCACCACAGTACTTTCAGCACATGCATTTGCTGTGGTTACAGGGAATAGAGGCAGGCAAGCCTGCAGTTTTTTGTCCTACTTCTGAAATCCTTCAGAAGCAGCTTCTCTCCTTTTCTGTTACACAGCCCAAAGGATCCGTTATCTCAACAACTTTTCTCTGACAGCTGAAGAGAGATGGAACATATATAAAATTAAGAAAGGCTGCCCAGCCTGAAGTAAATTCAAAACATTTCAAAACAATCTTCACTCCCTTCAGATCTTCCCTTCACAGCTGCCCAGCTCTTTAAGACTGCTGGGCATGGTAATAAAAGCATCTTAATACACCTGGATTTCCAAAGTCATGATCCTAAAGTTTTGTATTGTTTCCTACAGGAAAACTAAATATATTCTCCCATGCCTGTGTTAAAAAAAAAACAAACACCCTACCTACCCCTAGGCTTGGTGGCTGGGTATTTCACAAGGAGGAAAGGTGGGGTGAAACCAGCTCTTCAACCCACCCCATATGGAACTTGTGGAATTCAGATAAGTAGGGGAAACACAGCAGCTTCAAGTGCTATGCCAGTCCTCAAAAGCAGTTGAACATCACCAATCCTATACAACACACAAAATCAAGACAAATAGGAACAGGACAGCTGTCAACCATATCATAAAATGCAAGGTTCTGGTTTGATTCTAGCAAACACTAAGCCAGCCTCCTACTGCCAATTATTCCTTTTCCAAATCTTCACCTTGGCTCTCTAAGGAGAACTTCAAGATGAATTTAGTATTTGATTTAACCTCCAGATATAAACAAATATTTTCATTGCAAAATTCTGTACCTTACAACCATCAGATACTGCAATAAGATTGCAAGCCCCTTTTATCTGTGGCACCTTATTCACAAGAAATTTATTTCATCTCTCTTCCCATAGTACCACTGACCCAAGAAGACTAAAGTTTTTTACTCTGGCTTGCAAATTCCCGCCCAACAATGACTAAAGAGCTCCTAGAAGCTTTCAGATGTAGTCAGTAGTATCCAACATAAGGCTTAATGACTGACAAATCCTAAAATCCTGCTGCCATTCTTTTCCTGACCTTGCAGACTTTAACTGCTGAACAGAAAAATTCCTATTCTGTAACCGCTACCTTGTTATGAATTTTCCTGTCAATATTCATACCCCTTTCCTTCTAAAGCCAAAAGCAGTCAACTCTTAACTCATATGATGTTCACATTACACCACCACAAATCCCTCTGTTTCATTAAATTCCATCTAAATATACTTTGATTTCAGTAACATTTGAAGAAACCAAATGTGTTCACACACACACATCCACATAGAAAAAAAAACCACAGGTAAGCAAGAAGTGTATTTTGCAGGAAAACAAGCAAACAGAAGAACTCCATCACCATTAGTACTTCAATTTTGAAGGAAAACCAAAACAGACTAAGCTAATGCAGCAAAACATTGAAAGTGGCAACAGACATTGGCCAAACAGATGGGTAGCCTTTGGGTGAAGAAAACAGGTCTTTCCGGTGATGCTTCAAGAACCTCAGTCAAATATTGCAATGAACTCTTCTCTCCAGGTAGTGCAAAAGAGGAAAGTCTACACCCAGAGCAGAAACCAGTTTCCTCAACACAAGCAGCGCATAATGGACTTTGTGATACCACTGGCTAGCAAAAACCCCCACAGAGGATGGGCAGACAATTCCCACCTATGTCATGATAAAACAGCTTGGGACAGACAATATAAAAGCCTTTAATCCCTCTTTTATCTCAGAGTACTATTTAGTATTAAAATAATAGCTACATCTTATTCTCAAACTACTAATTCACTGTATTTTGTGTTCTATCTATACCACCATTACCACATACCAAGATGGCTTATAATACATTCCTGCCAGACTCGTAAAATACTGAGGTGCAAAACAGAAGTAAGATAGAAGAACTCACATAAACAAGTATCAGCAGAAAGAACAAAGAGAGAGCGAGCAGCAGCTCAAGGTGCCTATGCTGGGTCCTGGTATTAAATGCTTACATCATTTTTTTCCTTCCTTGCCAAAACTGACAAGCAGAAGGAACGCTACTGCACCACAGCGCATTATATAGATTAATACTTCTACATAAAAATATAAAACCATGTGCCTAGTATCCACAACATGCTGATTATTCCTCTTTTTTTAAGCAGTCATCTGTGCTGTATAGCTATAAATAACACTTCAGCAGAATCACGAGTGTGCACACACATGCATAAGCACTTAATAATCTCAGCTTAGGTTTAAGATCATTACTATTTAGTTTTAGAGGAATAAGCATAAGTAACAAGAAAAGGGAAAATCATTTTTACTTCATTTATATTTGTATACAAAAGCATTTTCCCACAAAAAACACTGAAGACTTCAGAATCTGAGTAGGAAAAACACCTGCACATACCACAAGAAAAAGCTTACGGAATCAAAATATACCATATCCAACAGCAACAGCAGTTAATAGCATATGGGAAGAGAAAAACAAACAGGTTAGGGGAAAGATACCATGATATACACCTTACCAACAACCTGGAATAGAAGAGCATGGGGGAACAGAACTCAAAGCCCAATTTTTATTTTCTATACAACCAGGAGACCAGCAGAAGACAACATCTGATCAATACATTTAGGGAAATTGCAGATGAAAGACTCTGTGCAAGTTGATGAGGTGGTTTTATTTTCCTTTTTCAGATAGGAAGCAAACAGACATGACCAAACTCAAAACTTTACAGCCCAAACTTGCACATGGTGCTATCTCACACAAGCAGATAAGGCTTTTGTAATATGCTCCCACAGCTTCCGTGGGTTCCGGCACCCCAAGACCAGAACTGGTCAGACAACCTCTTTTAAAGAGGGTAATGACAACTGAATGCACAACAGTCCTGAACTCACACTTAAACACCAAATACAGGCAAGGTCATGTAATGATTCCTGCAAACACAGGAAAGGAGTCCTTGGATAACAGGACACATGCCTACCTCCATTACCTGAAATTTTACTTTTATTGAGAAGCCCCTTACAAACAGACAATTTAATCTGTTTAAATTCTTGTGGTATAAGATGTTCTGAAAGATGTACTAGAATAAGTACTTTTTTCTTTTTTTTTGGGGGGGGGGGGGGGGCGGAACCAAAACCAAAACCCCAAAGCCCACAGCTCTGGTACCTGTTCATCAAGCAGTTGTAAAAAAAACAAAACAAAACAAAACAAAACAAAACAAACAAAAAAATACCCACACAAAAACAAACCTTCAAATCCAGTTCAACACATTTAACTATGTGAAATTTAGAGTAAATGGATACAACAGGCAAAGGTACTTTCTTGGATTTTTGTATACAGTATATTTGGCAGAAATACATTTCAGAAACTAAAACATTACAGAATATGCACAGTATACAGAGATGGAAGTTTCAAGTGTGCAAAGCAGATTGTATCCTATAAACAAATTTTCTAAAACACGGATCTTTCATTTTATGTTAGAACTAAAAGTAAGGTGAAACCATAAAATGTGCATATGAACTTACAAAAAACTCTGTCCTCTCTGAATTCAAAGTCTGAATTCAAATTTCTAAGTTACGATTTGAAGAGACTGTCTATGTAAGTCTTACCAGATGCTACTATAAGGAACTAGTTCCATACTGATTTAAAAAACTGATGCAACTCCTTCCTTACAGATTTTAATAACTTAAAATCTTGGGATCTGCTGGGAAAAAAAGCTGCTGTTCATTCTGTAAAACACGGAAACAATGATAGAATTACCTTGTACCAAAACCAGGCTTATGGAGATGATGTTATTGTTTTCATTCAAAAAGGTTATTTCATCTTCACCAGAAAAGTACTGTGAAACTACGAAATGCAAAAGGGATTATTTTGTGTCATGCTGTGGCCTGAAGAGATCCACAAAGCATGAAAGAGACTCTTATTAAGTACAAGCAGGCTCTGTCCTAATGGGTCATAGAAGCAGAAGCTGTGCAAATGCAGTATAATAGAAGTTGAACAGACCAGTTGGATGTTGGGGTAAAGAAAAGAAGAATGATGTCAACAGTTTTGATTTATTTATTCTCTGCCTGACAATGAAATGACACTACTGAGTGGCCCAGAGCTCTCCACCAAAAAAAAACCAGGAAGTGCTTGAGAGGAGGTATATACCATGAAAGGAGCCTTTCCACATTATTTGCAGGTTGCTCAATGGCAGAAAAAGAGCATTAAGAGGTAGTTCACAAGAGTTACTCTCTTTGCAACTCGAAGAAGCCTGTTAAATTAAAACAGAATTCTGTGGGTGCCCAGTGGAGTTATAATACATCTAACCCACTGGTACTTGTGGACAGAAAAACACCCTTAATAAAACTTGTGGTCATCATTATTTTGAAACAGAATGAAAAAAGTTTGAGGGTATGTACACATGCCCCCACATACAAAACCAAGGCCTGGCCTGACAGTACTGCAAAGTATCCAGCCAACAACAAATGTTAAAGCCACTGCGTTTAACACTGGAAGGGTAGATAGAGAAAATAGCAGCCTTGCTCAATTTTGGACAATAGGATTTCAGCCTGGGCCGTAAATAAAAGGATGCTTACTTCAGAGATTTAGTTGAATTTCTTTCAGCAACAGTTCAGCTGTCCCAATGCTGCTGTGGGTCTAAGCTCTACTGAACAGCAAGCGGCTACTTCTGTTATTCTCTCAAATCTAATCCTGCACTGATGGCCGAAACCACTTGTGAAACTAAAGACAGCATGCATTTGGCAGAAACCACATA